AATACAAAAATAAAAATGTCTCAGTACAAATATTTGCCTATTTAAAAGATACATTTTACCCCTCCCCTGTTTCTCATTGTTGGCATGGCTGGCATTTCTTCTCCCTCAGTTTACACTGTATTCCATCTGGACAGCATGATGGGAAACAGCTGGGCACTGGCCATATTGACTTTACTGGTTATTCTCATCTCATGCCCAATGGCATCGGACTGTGAAGGGGAATTCTACAACTCAAAACTGCAGGTACAGACTGCTCTAGTATCTATACTAAACAAAAATATGAACGCAACATGCAACAATTTCTACGATTTTACTGAGTTATAGTTCATATGAGGAAGTCAGTCAATTGAAATAAATACATTAGGCCCTAATCTATGGATTTCACAACTGGGAATGCAGATATGCATCTGTTGGTTACAGATACCTTAAATAAAAAGTCCCTCAGGATCTCGTCACAGTATCTCTGTGCATTCAAATTGACATAGATAAAATGCAATTGTGTTTGGTGCATGCAGCTTATGCCTGCCCATACCATAACCCCACCGCCACCATGGGGCACTGTTCACAACGTTGACATCAGCAAACCGCTCGCCCATGCGACGCCATACATGTGGTCTGTGGTTGAGAGGCTGGTTGGACGTACTGCCAAATTCTCTAAAATGACGGCGGAGGCGTCTTATTGTAGAGAAATTAACGTTCAATTCTCTGGCAACAGTTCTGGTGGACATTCCTGCCATCAGCATGCTATTGCACGCTCCCTCAAAACTTGAGACATCTGTGAAATTGTGTTGTGTGACAAAACTGCACATTTTAGAGTGGCCTTTTATTGTGCCCAGCACAAGGTGCACCTGTGTAATGATCATGCTCTTTAATCAGCTTCTTGATATGCCACACCTGTTAGGTGGATGGATTTTTCCAGTATGGAAGAAAAAAAATTATGCACTAACTGTAAGTCGCTCTGGATAAGAGCGTCTGCTAAATGACTAAAATGTAAATGTAATTATCTTGCCAAAGGAGAAATGCTCACAGGGATGTAAACTAATTTGTACACAACATTTGAGAGAAATAAGGTTTTTGTGCATTTGGAACATTTCTGGGATCTTTTATTTCAGCTCATGAAACATGGGACCAAAACTTCACATATTGCGTTTATATTTTAGTTCAGTAAATATTACAGTTCTATGGAAAAGTCTGAGGTTTTGCCCTTTCCTCACGGTTGACTTGGTTCATGTAGTGGTTGGTCTGTATATTAATCTCACAAAATAATTCTAAATTAATCAAAAAAGTGCAGTAATTTATTGAGTTATTTATTGATACAAACTATCTGCTCTCCCAGGTCAGCCCAGACTACCTCAGCAGTGATTTAACTCATTCTAAGAGGTACAGCGACATCGACTACGACACCTTTGTGGGTCTGATGGGCAGGAGAAGTGCAGGTAAGAATCTGGGACTCCGGGGTCCAGAGAGCATTTGTTTTCTGTCACTGTTAGCTGGCTCTTCTACAGTATACATTATATGGATGACTGCATGACTCATGGATAGCCCGCCATCTGTAAATGTAATCAACAGATTTTTTTATTTGTTTTTATTTATGCGATACACAGTAGGTTTATCTAAGGCAGCTTGTCTGTGACTAATACATCTGAAGATGAATTAAAATGCAGCATGTAGATAGACCTAACAGTGGTAACATACTGTAATATGTGATCATCTTATTTCCAGGTGTAAATGCTCAGTCACAAAAACCAGAACAATTTTATCCAACACCTTTTAATGAAAATGTTGCGTATGTAATAACGTTTTTAAAGAACCAAAAACTATTTTTCTGTAGGAGACATGAATGACGTCTTTGTCGGCCTCCTGGGTCGCAGGAGCTCCGGGTCAGGTGAGTAACTACCCTCTGGACAAAACAGCGTTGATTCACCCAGTTTTACACATTTCAACAACAACAAAAATCTATGTGATGACATTGAATCAACATGGAAAACTGATTGGATTTTTTTTAAATCTTCAACATAAGGAGTATTTTTTCATCCAACTTTTAACCTAAATCCAATTACATTGTGAAATGTTTTGTTGATTTCACGTTGAATTCAGGTTAGTTGACAACCAAATGTAAATCAAAAATAGACATTTAACAGATGTCTGTGCCCAATGGGTAGCTACTGTACGCTACACAGAGCGGAGGCTGGGAAGAGGAGGAAAGCAAAGCCTGGAGACAGTTTGCCCTCCAGTGGCACTTTGTGGAATTCCCAAATGCCAAAGTAGATAATGGCTATGCAACGCTGGGGAACGTGTTTCCTAACTAAGCCTGTTTAACGTGTTGATCTGTGCGTGGTGATAGCCATCCCGCAGCCCTGGAGAGCGAAGGAATACCCACAGCCAAGAGGCGGCATTCTCATCAAGAAAGGGAGACTGAGGCAAGTAGGAATTTTACATGAAATGACCACACCAAACATTACAAAAACAACACTTCAAAGTCATCTCAGTGATTGAGACCCATATCTGTTAGAGACCATTATGGTCTAATATGGAGTGAATTGAATATTCATAAATTAATCTCTAACAGAAAGCCTCTAGATTGTATTAGTTATCAGCCCTGTGCTGGCTGGACTGTTGTGCTACTGCTTAGTGCTGCTCTGTCATCTTGGTAGATCTGACCACTGAGTTTTGTTCTCCATTTTTCTCCTTCTCATCTCTCTGCTCAGATTTGCACCCGGTGTGTAGGGTCCTGCCTCGTCCCTTTCAACCCAACACCGCAAAGCAGAGTGCACTACGCCGGACTGTATGCACATCATTCACCCAGAGTCGCTCTAAATAGGATGTTTACTGAGAAACCATAGTCTTGCAGTGATACCACTATGCTTATTTCTCACCACCACGAGAGAAGAATTTATGATTATCTGTAAATACACATGTAAAGTATTGCAAATTAATGTAATGTTATCTAATGTATTAAGTTATACCAGATGAAGGGTCGTGTTGAACATGATAATATACTGTACCAGCCTTTGGTAACCCCTGGCGCACCTCTGTCTGAGATGTCATGTCACACACACCAGGTAACTGTACAGTCAATAAATCAGCGTAACTGGTGGGGAGAGATTAGACATACATAGCTGAGTAAACTTATGCCTTTGAGAACATACTGTAAAGTATGGTTATATGACACTATAATAACCACATATATGGTCACTTCTTGCAGTCACTGCCAACAAACAGTAGATACAGTTCTGTACACCGTTCCCTTTTACAAGAATGTGAACTATATAGAGGATTGGGTTGCTTGTACCAACACACACACCAGAGAGAGAAAGCCGGAGGCGTGTTAATTGGCAGGTATTTACAGCAGACTTAACTCTGATCCACGTGATCTTCACACCATCTACAGGGCCAAACACTACAATGAACGGTGACATTGCACACAGGTGCTGCCTTTGTTTAATGGTTCAAGGAGTGGACCTTCCCCGCACCTTACACACTGACGTCATGCGCTGTTTACCCCAGGAGGAGTTAGGTGTACATAGAGTAAGTGCAACAAACTTGACAGCGCCAGAGCTTTTAAGAGCCATTCAAAGTCAGGGAAATAAGCCAGTTGGGTGACTCAGATCTCCACTGCAGTAAAGAACAGGACTTAGTTACTTGATCAGTGTTGTGAAATGACGACTCGTACAGTGAACAGGAAGTAGAAAGGACGAGAAAATGAGGATACTTCGTCATTCTTGTTTGAAACAGGTTTAAAATAATACAGAATAAAATCTTACAGCATACATGCTGATTTGGTTTACTGTTTAACTTACAATGGCTGTACATGCAGGCTGCCATGTGATAAATGTCTAACTAACTGCTATACTGTTTACTGTCAATACACCTCCTATACAGCCACTCTGTTTGTGCAAATATGTCTAACCAATACACAGCACCATGTACAGGATGTTAAATTTACTCATGTCTATACATAGACTTCATAACCCAGTGGAATACAGGGCTATAGACACAAGTCCCATTAGAACTGAAGAAGAAAAGACAAGACACCCTGTGTGGTTGTTTCTGAGATGATCAATGAGTCACTTTGCTCAAAAAGTATAATATACTGTAAAAGTATACAGAATAAGAAAATGGAGATATAATACAATGAAGATTCATTTTTAAAAAAACAAGGTCAGTAAAATCAACTAATGACATCACATACCAGACATCCCCACCCATTTGGTCATTTCCCAGAAAATCCTCCCCATAGAATTCTTGACTCATACGCTTTTAAAAAGTAATTCACTTAAAAAGCCCCAAATACATTAAAATACCCTATCCATAACAGGTTTAAATAGAACTTGAATCAAACAAATGAAAACAATAATATCCAATCCAACAAGGTGCAAAAACTGTTCTCTAGAGATAGGCTAACTGAACATGCACAGGTAGGTTCAAGCGACATGTCCAAACTTTTTAGACTTTGTCACAGTGCAGTGTCAAAATGTGCAACTAAAGTTGCACACAATCATGCTTCACAAGGCACAAGCTACTGGGGCTGATAGAGAGCGAGGTCTCCTAGGATTAAAGTGACTCTTTCTCTCTCTCGTTACCACTCTTCAACAGTATGTCTGAACGACCTGCTGGTCTTCTTAACTTCATATTACAGAATTTTTCCTATGAGTATAAATAAAACGCAGATCTAAGACCAAGTTTGGTTTCAACCCCTAGTAGCTTAGGTTGATTAGGGTAGCGAAGCCGATCCGAAATCACCCAGTAAATCCTATCTGATAAATCCAGTTAATCTAGTCAGCTCAATGTTAAAGCCAGAGCTGTGAGGAGTGGTCATACTGGTTACGGTGGTGAGTAGCAAGATGAACCAGTTCAATAGGAACCTCCTAGTTACGTTTGCCCAGGACTACTCACTAAGGCATCCTTTAACCATTTGATGGTGTCTTAAGAGTGGTTCAAGAACTCTGAGGGAATTAAAACATTGATTAAAATAGGTATTTGAAATAACAAACATTGATTAAAATAGGTATTTGAAATAACAATCATGTTAAATATTTAGAAAACATTAAGGACTGTTGACATTTCAACATGGAGTCTGTGTGGTATCAAACTTTTTTACATTAGGACTAAAAAAGGATGGGTTGGTGCCAGTGACAACCCAACCAACACACAGCCAGTCACAGTAGACATTCTTCACCACCAACAGAATCCTTCACAACAGCACTTTTCTTTGGAGGCCCCACAGTTGACACAGTCTTTTCACTTCTGTAAAAATGTGTGCAGGTGCGTCCATACAGACGTAAAAACATGAACGCTCAAAAGCAACCCCCCACACACACACACTCTCTGACACACAAGGCTGCTACTGCTTGTCATCCTGCGCAGCAGCAGGCGGGTCTTTCTCCTCCGCTGCAGCAAGAGGCATCATTTCCTGTTTCCTGTCTGTCCTGGACGGACCCTCCACCCTCGCCAGTGGCCCCCTCTGGATGGCCGGTTGCTCTTTGGAGTACGAGTGTCCCCCGTCTGCCCCATCCCAAGCCTCAATCTTATAGCCCAGGGGGCTTGGGGGCTGGTAGCGGTACCTGTAGCCAAAGGCACGCAGGTGGTAGGTGTAGTACTCCAACAGGTACATGAGGGACGCGTCCACATAGTGGAAAGACACAGACAGGTCCGAGCAGCAATTTGGCCCCTACGGGAAAAACACCAGGATGGGAAAGGAAAAATGAGGAGTACAGACAGTGAGGGCGGTCCAAGACCGGCTCGGTTTAGCATTACACAACAACATACTGGACAGGGGACAATGCTTCATCTAACAATTTAGTAGTAAAACTAAAATGTCAGCTAGGCTGGATGCTGTGCAAGAATTAAGGCAAACAAACAGGCTCACCGTTGAACTCAGCCGGAGGATATAAAACAGAGGTAAGATAGATATCGATTTTGAGACCAGACATTTACATATTTGATTATTAGCTTTTCATATTCATGCGAAAATCCTGTGTTTTTTCAAAGATTTCTCCGAAAAACAAGCGTCTCTGAAATGTCAACGGAGCAAAGAGTACCGCAAGCTTTTTATTTTTCAAAGCCTTTTACATTTACACTGAACAAAAATAGAAATTGCAACAATTGAAAAGATTTTACTGAGTTACAGTTCAAATATGGTAATCAGTCCAATGAAATACATTTATTAGAGCCTAATCTATGGATTTAACAACTGGGAATACAGATATACAGTGCATTCGGAAAGTATGCAGACCCCTTCACTTTTCCCACATTGTTACGTTACAGCCTTATTCGAAAATGTATTAAATTGCAAACATTTCTAAAAACCTGTTTTTGCTTTGTCATTATGGGGTATTGTGTGTAGATTGATGATTTTAGAATAAGGCTGTAACGTAACAAAATGTGGAAAAAGTGAAGGGTCTAAATACTTACCGAATGTTGGTCACAGATACCTTAACCTCTTCAGGATCGGACACTTTATTTCCCCATTTTCACAAACAAAAAAAACATGCGTTTTCAAAAAAATAAGTGTTCATCTTTGAAATGCAAGAGAAAGGCCACAATATATTGCAGTTTAGATTTTGGCCACTAGCTGGCAGCCGTGTGTGCAAAGTTTCATATTGATCCAGTGAAGCGTTGCAATACTGGACTTTGTATCAAGTCTTCCCAAATTGGTCAATTGATACATTTTCAAGTACATAACTATAGAGAACATACAAAAATTATACGGTAATAAAGAATGTAAGTTTACACACTCCCAGGAATGTCATACATGATGGAGCATTAGCTTATACACTAACGTTCACACATCTAGATGGCCGGGCGGGGTGGGTGTGGAGCCACAGACAGCAGGGGTTCAAACTGTGGAACCCAGTTCCTACATTTGAATTAAAAAATTTATTTTATCAAACAAAACTGCTACATTTTATCACTGGGACCCTTAGGATGACAAATCAGAGCAAGATTACTGAATGTAAGTACATTATTTACCTTCAGAGGTGAATGTATCAAACCAGTTGCCTTGATAAGTTTGTTGTTGTGCACGCTCCTCAAACAATAGCATGGTATTTTTTCACTGTAATAGCTACTGTAAATTGGACAGTGCAGTTAGATTAATAAGAATGTAAGCTTTCTGCCCATATAAGACATGGTCTAGGTCCTGGAAAGTTTGCTGTTACTTACAACAGTCATGCTAATCACATTAGCACACGTTAGCTCAACCATTCCGTATACAGAACACCGATCCTGTAGAGGTTAAAAATACAAAGTTAGGGGGTGGATCAGAAAACCTGTCAATATCTGGTGTGACCACCATTTGGACACATCACCGTCGCATAGTTGATCAGGCTGTTGATTGTAGCCTGTGGAATGTTGTCCCACTCCTCTTCAAAGGCTGTGCGAAGTTGCTGGATATTGGCAGGAACTGGAACACTGTCGTACACGTCGATCCAGAGCATCCAAAACACGCTCACTGGGTGACAGGTCTTGTGAGTATGCAGGCCATGGAAGAACTGGGACATTTTCAGCTTCCAGGAATTGTGTACAAATCCTTGCGACATGGTACCCATGCATTATCATGCTGAAACATGACGTGATGGCAGCGGATGAATGGCACGACAACGGGCCTCAGGATCTTGTCACGGTATCTCTGTGCTTTCAAATTGCCATCGATAAAATGCAATAGTGTTCGTTGTCCGTAGCTTATGCCTGCCCATACCCCCAGCACCACGGGACACTGTTCACAACATTGACATCAGCAAACTGCTTGCCCACACAACGTCTGCCATCTGACAGGTACAGTCAAAACCGGGATTCATTCATGAAGAGCACATTTCTCCAGTGTGCCAGTGGACCACTGAAGTCGGTTACGACGCCGAACTGCAGTCAGGTCAAGACCCTGGTGAGGACAACAAGCACGCAGATGAGCTTCCCTGAGGCGGTTTGACAGTTTGTGTGGAAATTCTTCGGTTGTGCAAACCCACAGTTTCATCAGCTGTCCAGGTGGCTGGTCTCAGACGATCCCGCAGATGAAGAAGCCGGATGTGGAGGTCCTGGGCTGGCGTGGTCACACGTGTTCTGTGGTTGTGAGGACGGTTGGACGTACTGCCAAATTCTCTAAAACGACATTGGAGGTGGCTTATGGTAGAGAAATTAAGAATAAAAATCTGTCAACAGCTCTGGTGGACATTCCTGCAGTCAGCATGCCAATTGCACCCTCCCTAAAAATGTGAAACATCTGTGGCATTGTGTTGTGACAAAACTGCACATTTTAGAGTGGCCTTTTATTGTCCCCAGCACAAGGTGCACCTGTGTAATGATCATGCTGTTTAATCAGTTCCTTGATATGCCACACCTGTCAGGTGGATGGATTATCTTGGCAAAGGAGAAATGCTTACTAACAGGGATAAATCAATTTGTGCACAACATTTGAGAGAAATAAGCTTTGTGCGTATGGAACATTTCTGGCCTCTTATTTCAGCTCATGAAACATGGGACAAACACTGCGTTTATATTTTTGTTCAGTGTAATTCTGCACGTCATTTTCATTTTGCCACCCGCGGAAACAACTTTGCAGATGACCACAATATGTAAAATCCTCAAAGTCGCTGCGAGAAGCGGCACCGCTCTGTCAACAGAGCGCAGTGTTTATTATCGGATGTATTAGGTTACGAAATCCGACTTTTTGAATATAATGTTAGAGAAAGACCCCACTGAATGATTCAGAACATGGAGAATCATAATTTGTCTTGGTAAAATGTATTTTATAACATAAGGAAGTGAAATTGCATCACTAAAGCGCTTTTACACCCACTCTGGGCAGTGATTGTACACCCTTAAAATTACACACTATTATGTGGGAACACAATCAGTCCCTTGTCCTTCCTGCTTTACATGTTTGTATCAGGATAAAACTAAGGTGAATGATAATTAGGCTTAAAAAGGCTTTACCCGCCTCATTAGCAGGCATAGCAGCAGCACTGGTTTCACTAGGACATCATCAATACCTGGTGTCATCTTAGGCTTGGTTGGGTCTATTCAGTAAATAGTCCATGACGCCTTGGTCTATTGAACACGCTATGGTCTGGTAGTTATGTTTGACAAAGGTCTACCACTAGGGCTGTAACGTCATGGAATGTTGGATGACTAATTGGCCATCCAAATGACCACGGTTACCGTAATAACCGTTTGAATAGCGCAATACATATATACACACACACATAAGAAAATCTGCAGGATAAAAAGCAATAAATTACATTAAAATAAAATGAATAAAACGGGCATCCCCATTCAAGTCAATGATGGCATAATGGGCGGACTGGCGGCCATTGCGAGAGTACCCATAGGAGCAAAGCAGGAAGTAAAATATGTGCTGTGATTTCTTGATTCAACTCAACTGACATTACAAGAAATACATTAAATTGCATGAGCCACATCAGTTACCATTCTACATTACCATGGAAATTATTGCATCACAATACCAGGCAGCCATTGCAAGTGTACACTAGTTTACCTGTCAAATTGCCAGGGTTAGAGGTTCCAAGCCTGTTCTATTCACTCTATTTCATTCTATTATATTTTGGGGTTCCGTGGTTGCCATGGCACCATGAGGAAGCCTAGGCAGAGAGCTCCTGTACATTTTTAAATATTGTGTTGTTTTAAGTCTTTCTATTGGATTTTTTTAACAAACTTTTTGTTTTTCATGACTTCTTGAGTGTTTCGGAGCTACAATAGCTGATGGTTTTGACCCATAGAGTTCATGGACTAATGGCAAGTCTGAATGCTAGTTACTGTACATAACTGCATATCGTCAAGTATTGAACTAAAATCACAGCTAAGCCGCTAACTTACTTATTCAGCCCAACAACAGCCTCCCGGTACTTACCTCTGAGATGGGGTAGTAGCAGTAGCTCCAGTACCAGAAGCTCTTGGAGAACTTGGAGGTGAGGTGCTGCTCAGGGACAAAGGGATGGAAGGTCTCCCTGAGGACGGTGTCTCTGGCGTCCCCGGCCACCACCCCCACCTTCTCCATGCACTGGCCCATGGCCAGGTCCTCCACGTGGGTGGTGTGGGTGCACACCTTGGTCTTAAAGCCCTCCACGAACCTCTTAAGGGCCTCTTTGCTCAGCACGTAGCCTGCCCCGCCGCTCATGTAGCCCTGCTTGGTGTAGGGCTTAAACCTGCGTCCAAAGTAGATGGGCTCCTCTGGCGTGTGGTTGGCCAGCACCCAGCGCAGGTTGTCCACGACAACGTAGGTGTCGTCGTCGGCCTTAAGGAACCAGTCGGCCTCGTCTCCATGGTTCTCCAGGGCGTAGTGGAAGGCCCGGATGGTCTTCCAGTAGAGCTGGTCGCGGCCTTCCTTGGTGCCCAGCCCCACAGTGGGGAAGTCTGGGTCGTCCACAGAGCTCATGAACACCACCACGTTACAGTGGCGGCTCCAGGTGTTCTTTATGTGGCGGGCCTTCTTCTGCAGGTTGTTGGGCCCGGTCATCACCCAGCAAAGGATGCGCACCTTCTTGTACAGTTCATCTGCCATGTGGCTGTCCTCACCTGGAAGGGGGGGGAATTTAGTTTTTAATTTATTATCCATCAGTCTGCATGTCTTCAAATCCTACTCAAAACTCTGCAGAAGCAAAGACCCCATTGTTCTAAATAACATGGATGATAAATGCATTTATCAATTTAAAGCGTATTTAGGGATATATAGAAATACCGCCTAAAGGCACAGCATGATCTTATGACCAATTAGGCTACTGTTTCACTCTGTATGAAGATAAATACAGTACACTGTTGGATTTGGCTGCAGAAGAAGACACTGCTAATGTTTATTCTAAGAGGATATGGGCATAACAATTAACATTGCCCTGAGCTATTGTAAATCTGTAGATATGTAATATGGTAATGAGTCACGATTACTACATTAATTACTACAGTCACACAGTGTATTCTAGAAGAGTGCACAAACAGAACATAGGCCTATAGAGTAGTAGAATGTGTACAGCAACCCATGATCGTGGCCATATTACTTCTTCAACCCAACCCTAACCCTCTTTGGAACAAAGGTTGCTTCCGTTAACTTATTTACCAGATAACCAGGAACTACCATCCACTTCCCTGTCTCAACAACCATTAAAGATTGTTTTAAAGTTTTTAATAAAACTGGTGACGATCAGATGCATTATCAAGATAGACTAGGCAAGATAAAAACCATGTGCTTAACATAAGGATGTGCTAAGCACATAAGGAAGTACATGAGTCATGTCACTTTATAAATGCATTTCTATTTGTGATCTCAGCCATAAATGTATGTAACATTACAGGCTCAGTGGCTCTATTTGAAATCTGTCAAGATTAGAAGATAAATACAATCCTGTGAAGCTTAGTATTGACCGCTGGCTGTTAAAACTACCATCTCACTCTGGCACTGTACCTTTGTGGTGTGGGTGGTTGAGGTTGAAGAGGGCCGACCTCTCCTTCTTCCAGTTCTTGCTGTCCTCCTCCAGCTCATGTAGCTGAGCCGCTGTCTTCTCCAAGCCATCGGGCTGAAGTGTTGAGAAGGTCCTCTCGAACCACACCTGATGTAGGAACACATAGAGCGTACAGGTCCCCACCAGGAACCCTATGAAGAAGGCGCAGCGCGAGCCCAGCGCCTTCATGACAAACTCTAACAATGTGCCTCAAGCTGAATCCCTATTTCAAGAGTCAAGACAAACAAGAGAGGCAGGGACAGAAAGGGTGGTGTTAACTGAGAGCTGGGTTTCCCAAACTCGGTCCTTGCTGTATAATGTTAGGGCAAAAACTAATTTGGGAAACCCTGACTTAGAACATTGTTTGACAGGCATATACAACTGCTGGGCTCTATGCAAAGACATGAGGGGAGAGAGAGATTATTATATGGTGTGTACATTATTGGAGTAGGGAGGAAACTTAACATTAGTTCATTTAGCTGACTATTTTCATTGTAGCTAGTTATATGATAATAATGTAAACAGCATGCCAATACATTTTAGATCTGTGATCTCATAAATAATAAATAAAATACAGCTAGCTACATAGCTGAACCTGCCACACTATGTTAGCTACCAAAGTAAGTGTGGCAGGGTCACTGTTGGCTAGTAACATACATTAAATTGCAGGCCTTTAAATTGTCTATCCCTGCGAGAATAGCTATGTCCGGTGGAGATGTCAAAAGAGAAATTGGTGGTTAGCAGGCCCTTACCACTACTTTAACGCCATTTCGGAAAAGTCCCTCTCTTGGGTCCAGTTGAAAAGTGGGGAAACTGTGGCGCGTGTCATGTTAAGAGAGCCATTTGTTCAGGAGTAAAACACCATCTCGTCAAAAACAAATACCACTTGGCGTTGAAGGGGTGAAAACAGTTTTCTCTTGGAATTTTCTTCCGCTAACTAGCTAGCTCTGTGGGTTTGGTAGCTAGCCGCATCGCACATCAATTTCAGCCAGCCAATTTAGATAAGCGAAACGAGACATCAATTCCAACTGTCATCCGAAACCAATACTGATTCTCTAGCTAAGATTATCCGGAGTCTTTCATACAAATGTCAAAATAAAATGTAACTACTTTAGCCACAGGCTCAACTTCGATGTAAAACCAGTATGGTTTTATTGAGGTATAAAATAACGTGTAAAACGCCTCTTTACGGTGGCGGTGTTGCGTTTACCAAAAATGCCAACATCAGTTTCTCATGCGTAGGCCCAGTCATTGATTGCTTAATCGTTTGCTCTGTCTTGCCTTAGTCCCCGCCCTTTAAATACTGTTAAGTTTCTATTGGATCATTGTATGTCCACGGAGCAAGCACAACCAATCATTGAGTTGCACCAGAGCACAGAGGTAAAGAAAATTTGTTAGAACAAGTACTCTAGCAAAAAGCAGTGGGCAAGTTCGTTTTGCATGGCCCGGTGCCCCGGGTGAGTGGAGATTTCGGTTAAGTACCAATGGAATGGTCTGAACTGTATAAACTCCGCTCAAAACGAACTAGCCCAATGACTATATATGAATGGACAACGCCATCGATCAGGTGACACCATTCATTCCTATGTGAAGACTCAGGGCAAGCCATCGATCAGGTGATCCTCTGCCCAGGCAATACTGATGCATACCAGATCTTACAACGCCTGGATAAGTATTTTAAGTATCAGCTAATCACATATGTTATAGCAATCTGGCAGTCGTTGACAGTCGATGACGTGGCACGCAACCATTGGTTGATGCATGCAACGTCTGAGCAGGGGAACGTTGCAGGCTAACTCAGTGCTGCCCCCTCATTGAATACCTCAAGATAAAGGCCGAATGGGGTACTGCAGGCTGCAATTAGCAACTAAATAATAATAATAATAATAATATGCCATTTAGCAGACGCTTTTATCCAAAGCGACTTAGTCATGCGTGCATTCATTTTTTTGTGTATGGGTGGTCCCGGGGATCGAACCCACTACCTTGGCGTTACAAGCGCTGTGCTCTACCAGCTGAGCTACAGAGGACCACAATTACATTATGAATTGGATGAGGAATACAATTACCAAAGTAAATACACCTGTCCCGCCGATTTTCAAATAATCTGTTCAAGGAAATACGTCCGGTGTATTAGAAGCAATTATTGGTACCATAATGGTCTTCGAAACAATTATTATATTCACTACAATGCCTGCAGTCCCGCTGTGGCTACAATGAGAGGCAGTTGCTCTCCTCTGAGTAGTAACAAAGATTTTCTTTATAATTTATGATAGCTTCCACAAACGACTGACTTCAAACAAATAGTATAAAAATGTGAGGGTGTTGCGAGGGTTGTTGACAGAAAAAGCAGTAGTTTCCTCAAACTTCATATAAGCCTATCACTTGAAACCACTGAGGGAATTCCTCAAAATATCAGTAAACACTGTGGCATATCTTGCCCAAGTATTTTCTAATGGTCTTTATTTTACATTTGCAAGGTATGAGTATACAAAGATTTTACAAGGCAGCTCATTGACTTTTAGGGAGGGTGTTCATCTGGTGAATTAAAAATGTAACATTGGATCTGTTTGACATCTTCACTCAATAACACCCCTCAACAAGGAAGTGTGCTTATAATGGTATTAACTCAATATCAAAATTATTCCCTCACGTTCAAGCTAAATTATTTACAGATTTGAAGGTGCTACAATTATTCACAATATATACACATTAAGCCTTTTCTAGCTCAGTTGGTTGAGCATGGCGCTTGTAACGCCGGGGTTGTGGGTTTGATCCCCAGGACAACCTATACGTAAAATGTATGCTCGCCATTTTTTTTGACAAGAACAGCTGCGCTCCAATCACTATTTCTGAGAAATAACTTCTCAAATGAAAATAGGTTTAGTATTTTTTGGTTTGCTGTACATAGCATCAAACCAAAAAAATCTGAAACTTCAAATAACGGTTTTGAACATTCGTGACAGTTATCAAAATGTCCAACTTTCCAGAACCATTTCTCAACTTTTAAAGTGCTACAAAATGCATATGGAGTACGATGAATGTTTCATCAAGCATGTCAATTCCACAATGAACAATTAAATTAAAGAGTTGTAAAAGCTTCACTAAATTACACGGGTTCTGATTTAAATATTCAAACTGTGGTTCAACCTCCAAACCACAATAGCATGGGGGTGCTCACTCTTTTTCAGGTTTCCGAACCTGCATTCTTTTTAAACAATGTAGAATTTCTAAACAAGATAACTAGTGAACCGAACCCTCCTTTTGCAAACATACTATATTATTTTGTGAAGCCAAGTGTAAATACGAGGTCAATTCCTACATTGCATCACTCATGGAGGTGATTTCCTCACACTGTAGAGCAGCAGACAAACACAGAGGTGTAGTTATAAGCACTGCTGTGTGGATACACAAGGAGAGGGCATCATAGCTCTGTAGAAATGTAAAGTTAAACCTCATTCAGTCCAAGCCTTAGATACATTTTCACAGGTGCAAATTGTCCAGTCCATGGTGTTTTTCCACCCTCCTCTCAACCCAACATAGTTACAGACATTGAAATTACACCCCTTTTCAGCCATCACATTGGCCTCCCACTAAAGAGAGAAAACAAAACCTGACACCATTACACTACCACAGCTGAGACATTTGGATTGGTTTGTGCAAGGTACATAAGGGTGCCGGATAGGGACACAACACATTTCTAAGTGTGGGAACAGGTGCATTTATGGACACTGGTGTTACCAGTGGGGCCCAAGGGGCGGCTGAGACTTAGCAGTGAGTTCAGAGGTCTGACAGGGGAGAGGGACACTCCCCGCTCCTAGCCTCCACAGGTGCTTGGTTCCCACGATGTGAGGAAACGTCTCCCCAGAGCTCATAACTCCACATCGTCTGAGTCCGGTGCAGTACTGGTGGACTGGGCCTCTTGCTGTCTATCTCCCCATACAAATCTGTAGTTGTTTTCCAACTCCTGATGTCTTTTTTGCTCCTTGTAAACCTCCTCTGTTCCCCCTGTCTGAGAGACATACAGGGAAGATCAAAAGAATTGCTCACACATACTCATATTACTTAGACTTCTTCCAAAATGTTGAACTGTTTAACTCTTTCAATTGCTTATCTTGCTTTTGTTAGCAGTCTGTGAACCCAATTGATGGAGAAAATGATCTTACAGATATCTTTCAACACATACACTACATGACCAAAAGTATGTGGACCCCTGCTCATCGAACTTCTCATTCCAAAATCATGGGCATTAATATGGAGTTGGTCCCCCCTTTGCTGCTATAACAGCCTCCACTCTTCTGGGAAGGCTTTCCACTAGATGTTGGAACATTGGTGCGGGGACTTGGTTCCATTCAGCCACAAGATCATTAGTGAGGTCGGGCACTGATGTTGGCCGATTAGGCCTGGCTCGAAGTCGGCGTTCCAATTCATCCCAATGGTGTTCGATGGGGTTGAGGTCAGGGATCTGTGCAGGCCAGTCAAGTTCTTCCACACCGATCTCAAAAAACCATTTATATGTAGACCTTGCTTTGTGCACGGGGGCATTGTCATGCTGAAACAGGAAAGGGCCTTCCCCAAACTGTTGCCACAAAGTTGGAAGCACAGAATCATCTAGAATGTCATAGTATGCTGTAGAGTTAAGATTTCCTTTCACTGGAACTAAGGGGCCTAGCCAGAACCATGAAAAACAGCCCCAGACCATTATTCCTCCTCCACCAAACTTTACAGTTGGCACTATGCATTGAGGCAGGTAGCGTTCTCCTGAAATCCGCCAAACCCAGATTAGTCAGTCGAACTGCCAGATGGTGAAGCGTGATTAATCACCCCAGAGAACGTGTTTCCACTGCTCCAGAGTCCAATGGCGGCAAGCTTTACACCACTCCAGAAGAAGCTTGGCATTGCGCATCGTGATCTTATGCTTGTGTGTGGCTGCTTGGCCATGGAAACCCATTTCATGAAGCTCCAGACGAACAGTTCTTGTGCTGACGTTGCTTCCAGAGGCAGTTTGGAATTCGGTAGTGAGTGTTGCAACTGAGGACAGACAATGTGACGGTGCCACATTGAAAGTCACTGAGCTCTTCAGTAAGGCCATTCTTCTGCCAATGTTTGTCTATGGAGATTTCATGGCTGTGTGCTCAATTTTATACACCTGTCAGCAACGGGTGTGGCTGAAATAGCCGAATCCACTAATTTAAAGGGGTGTCCACATACTTTTGTATATATAGTGTTTCAAAAATACTTTTTCTAGACTGTAAATAACACTCAACCCATCTGTAGTGTATTTAAAAGGATTATGATACTTGTCATTGTGATTACCAATAGGTTGATGAGGAGCTCTCTGAATGACTTAGTATCTTCTTCAGTCAGCCACTGGTCCCCAGCCTCCCCAGCTGTCCTTCGTGTTAAAATCTTCACCTCAATTTTACCTTAAAAAAAGAACTGTCAACGTTACAATACTTACAGGTGTTTCACTTACATCAAACAACAATGCAAATACACACAAACAGGCAAATATATCACATCGTCTAACCTCTCATACACACACAGTATAAATAGACACCAAACATTCATTAGCACATGGGCAGCTTGAAATGTGCAACTGTGCACAAATATGGTCTTGAATATCAGCCAGTAACCCCATTGGAAAGCTTCTATCACAATACCACATACAGTAAGCAATCATTTAAGAAATAAGAACTGGACATAGAAAGCACATTAAAGACGGATTATGAAAATGGATGAGACATCAGTCACTGTTGCATCTACATTGCTTTTCAATAGATCTTTGATGCTGTGAGTCCTAAACCAGATCATCCTATTGTGAAATGTAATTAATCGCAAGCACACCCAGAAGCTTCCTCAGATAACATGTTCACACAGTATCTTTGCCACACCCCAATAGTGATCTGAAGAAGGGAATTTTTAAAGTAAATTTCAATAGATAAGATATGATCATGTGATGCGTAGCTCTGTTTTGCCATTGACCCCATTCTATTTTTGGAACACAACCCAAATTAGATGAGAAGAGAGTGGCATGATCATACGCTAAAGAAAGCAGGCGGAAAAGAGAGAGATAGGCCGTGTGTTTTTTGGGCACTCCCCTTCCTACCTTCGGCCTTCAGTCCTGCCTTCTCTAGCTGTTCTTTAACCATGTCCTTAATATGCTGCCACTGGAGGTCGCCTTCTCCCATCTCCTGAACTTTGACCTCCCCATCGGGGCTGCCGCTCGTCTTATACTTAGTAACTCTGATTTTAACATGGTCGTCAGCCTCTTGGTCTGGGGTGACGAGACAAAAGGGGGACAAACAACAGAGGTCACCTCCCAACAAGTATACGTAGAGCAGCAGGATGTAGGAGTTAAAGCTAGGAATGTGGGTGGGATCTCTTATAGAAGTGTTTTACTCACTTGTAATAGAAAGGGGCTTTTTCTACAGTGTCATAACTTCAAATGTATGCCAGCAGCGACAGTGGCAAATCAAATCTAACTACATGAATCCAGCATATTGAAGCAATTCTTTAATGCCTTTTCTCTTCATATAGGACTGTCAGTATGCTGTTATAGCCTACAGCGGTTTTAATTTCCCCTGAGCATTGAACAGCAAATCTCCAATGGTACTGAACATGGGATGGAACAAGACATCAATATACACAGAATGTAGATGTATGAACTATGAACACATAGAGCCCAGTTACCTGGCTGTCGCGGGGCCAGGCTGGGGCTGCCCCTGGCTGGGTCGTTGGCCCTCTGGCCTCCCTCTGTCTGGTGCTCTGCCTCGGTGTCCCCGGCCTCTTTGTCCTCTAGGCGGTCCAGCAGCTTGTCCAGAGTAGTCTCCAGGGTCTGGGTGGCCTGAGTGCGGTCAAACTCCCCCTTCAGACCCTCTGTGTCCAGCTCCTGCTGAGCCTAGAACATAGAGAGCCCATCAAGTCAAAGGAAGACAGCACCAATGAGCCTGTCAATAGTAGTAAATATGACTGAAATTATGTAAAATATTAAAGATGTCCCCCAGTCATTTTTTTATTTTCCTCCTGAAAAGTGATATCCCAAGTATAAATACAGTAAAGTACACACACTAAAGGGTAAAAAAAATATGGGCATTCAAGGAGTTGGTTTGACGGGAAGTGGTGACGTCATCGGCCTCCCCCCTTGATTGAGGAGCAATAGAGAACAAAAGAAGAAAGGCCCACCCCGCACTGCAATGTCATGACTTACCTGGACCACCTTTTGAGATATGCCTTTTGTTAAGTAAATCAGGTGTTAAATGAGGTGAAAAGGAGACTGGAGTGTCACTTTAACATGTTGACAAAATAATACTGGTCATTTAGATGTCCATCTATCTCACGTTTGGCCCATAATGTGATCGTCTGTCCCCTCATCCACTGTGCCATCTGTCCCCTCGTCACCGGCCAAAATCTCATCAAGAGTCTTCAGCTCCTCTGAGATCTGCTCCACTCTCAATAACTTTAAACAAATCCTTCCAGACGATAACCTACTCTACCACATAGAACCATTTACAGCCTGTACACAACATCTCTAGCATCTGTCCGCACCTCGTCTATGATGTTATCAAACTCCTTTTGCATTTCCTCTTTCATCTCCTCGATGTTGGCAGAGGGCACCGAGAGGCCAGCTATCTCCTCTTCAAACTCCTGCAGCAGGAAACGCTCTTCTTCATCCCCTTCCTCATCCTCGCCGCCACCTCTCTCTTTCTCCTTCTTTCTCAGTGCCTCTCTTTCGGCTTCATTTTGTTCTTTCTGAGAAGGAAGTCAAATAACCATATTGAAATTAAATGCACAAAAATGTCACTGCATTATGAATACATGGTTATGGGAAAAAGGTAACTGTGCCATGGTCTGGCCTAAAGGTGGCACTAACCTTTCTGTTGCTCTCTTTTAGATGCTGCACAAATTTCATCAGGTCTGCAGGGTCTGTGATGATCTTGAAGTTGAATTTTTCATCTCCAAAAGCTGCGAGGAATCAAAAACATCTGATAGATATTAACCAAAAGGATAACACTTGAAAGCATCAGATGTGATATTGTAGTGAGTAGTGTTTTTAAATGCCAATGTAATACATTACCATCCTCTGTGACCTCATTGTCTGTGAGCTGATTATCAAAGGCATCCTCTCCAGCCTGTCAAAACAGAAAGCTGTTGGCGCCATCTTGTGGAAGACTAAAGTTGAAAGATATTATGATGATCACTGACTGTGTACCTGATGCTCTGAAGTGGTGTCAGATGCTGTGGTACCCCCTGGATTTGTCACTCCCTCCCAGAAATCAGAATCCTCTGGCTGTTCAGAGGTAACACCTTCATCTGGTCCAACAGAAATGAATCAAGAGGACCGATTATTTCCTAATATGATGCTTTCATTCTAATATCCTGCAAGCAAGCTGTGGTGTCTACTATAAGACCAACACACACCAGAGAAATTAAGTACTTTGATGAAACAAATGGGCATTGAACCTTCTGTGTCTGACCCCAGGACATCTGGGTCATCTTTTGACATCGCTGACTCCTCGTCTGTCCCCTCATCCACTGTGCCATCTGTCCCCTCGTCACCGGCCAAAATTTCATCAAGAGTCTTCAGCTCCTCTGAGATCTGCTCCACTTTACGTTTCGTGTCCGCTGAACATGAGAGAGAGAGAAGCAAGGTTACATTATTCCTCAGGGCTTGTGAAATTAGGGAACCAATTAAAATATTTAGCCAGGCTTCATATCACAATACATAAAGAGTAAGCACCCTCCCAAAGACCCCCATCCTGCCTGCTGACTCACAGACTTGGGCCTTGACATAGTCCATGTATTGCTGGGTGCTGAGAGCCGGCTGGCACACAATGCTCTGGGGCTTGGCGGTGGAGGGCGGACGCAGGAAGGGGTGCTGGCAGGTGCTGGTAGTGTGGACCGTCAGCACGTAGCGACAGGACTGGGGCTCGTCCACACGGGCCACGTAGTCACCCGACCCCTCCTCACACACAAACTGGAAGATACAGAGCACAGAAGATCAGGGGTCAGCGGTCATAGATTGTCAAGGAGTCACACCAGTCTTATCTAATGCATTTGCAGTTTTACATATTTATTCAATACAATATTTATTTAATACAAAACACAGGTTGTTCAGGTTGTTATTGCAATCTTAAGAAACCATCTCATAGTCTCTCACCCTGACTTCAGTCTCCCTGGGGCTCCCGTTCAGGTCACACTTGGAGCCGTTGACGTAGCTCTGACTGTGGTAGCGCTTCAACCTGTGCTGCTTGGAGGCCTGGGAGGGAGAGAAGGAAGGATAGATAAAAATAGCTTTATTAGTGTGTGTATTACACTGGTATTCACACTGGTTGGTATTGATGCAGTACGTCAGGCTGTAATTTCTAAAGAGCAAGAGCTCATTTTAGCTGAAGTTGGTATTTGCCAGCTCTTATCCTACATGACCAAAAGTATGTGGACACCTGCTCGTCAAACATCTCATTCCATAATCATGGGCATTAATATGGAGTTGGTCCCCCCTTTGCTGCTATAACAGACTCCACTCTTCTGGGAAGGCTTTCCACTAGATGTTGGAACATTACTGCAGGGACTTGTTTCCATTCAGCCACAACAGCATTAGTGAGGTCGGGCACTGATGTTGGGCGATTAGGCCTGGCTCGGCGTTCCAATTCATCCCAAAGGTGTTCGATGGGGTTGAGGTCAGGGCTCTGTGCAGGCCAGTCAAGTTCTTCCACACCGATCACGACAAACCATTTCTGTATGGACCTCGATTTGTGCACGAGGGCATTGTCATGCTGAAACAGGAAAGGGCCTTCCCCAAACTGTTGCCACAATGTTGGAAGCACAGAATCGTCTAGAATGTCATTGTATGCTGTAGCGTTAAGATTTCCCTCCCTGGAACTAAGGGGCCTAGCCCGAACCATGAAAAACAGCCCCAGACCATTATTCCTCCTCCACCAAAGTTTACAGTTGGCACTATGCATTGGGGCAGGTAGCATTCTCCTGGCATCTGCCAAGCCGAGATTTGTCCATCGGACTGCCAGATGGTGAAGCGTGATTCATCACTCCAGAGAACATGTTTCCACTGCTCCAGAGTCCAATGGCGGTGAGCTTTACACCACTCCAGCTTGGCTTGTGTGCGGCCATGGAAACCCATTTCATTAAGCTCCCGACGAACAGTTCTTGTGCTTACGCTGCTTCCAGAGGCAGTTTGGAATTTGGTAGTGAGTGTTACAACCGAGGACAGACGATTTTTACACGCTACGCGCTTCAGTGGTCCCATTCTGTGAGCTTGTGTGGCCTACCACTTTGCGGCTGAGCCGTTGTCGCTCCTAGACGTTTCCACTTCACAATAACAGCACTTACAGTTGACCTGGGCAGCTGTAGCTGGGCAGAAATGTGCCAAACAGACAGTTGGAAAGGTGGCATCCTATGACGGTGCCACATTGAAAGTCACTGAGCTCTTCAGTAAGGCTATTCTACTGCCGGTGTTTGTCTATGGAGATTGCATGGCGGTGTGCTCAATTTTATACACTTGTCAGCAACGGGTGTGGCTGAAATAGCCGAATCCACTAATTTAAAAAGGGGTGTCCACATACTTTTGTATATATAGTGTATCAAAAACACTTTTTCTAGACTGAAAATTGGCTCATGCAACATGCTTCTTTCATATTTGCCAGCAAGTATACATCGGAAAAACTCTTGCTTTAGTCCTTTCTATGAGAGGAGTTAAACACACTACAGTAGCACAACAAAGTATGACAAAATCCTATGGAGGGGAGAGAGGAGGGAGGCTGCATGCAACAGATAAACAAACTGGTTACCTTGGCTGTTTCATTGTTCCAGTCAAACTCTGAATCATAGTAACCCAGGAAGAGAACATCCCCTTTGATGTCTGTGTCTGTGGAGAGATAAAAACAGACTCGATCATTAGAGGCATGACCTAAATCTAAATAGATAAAGTAGCGTCAGGTAGGTGACACCATGTGACGCAGCAGCACATGACAGACAGGTCAACACCAGAGGAGTACACATGACAGACAGGTCAACACCAGAGGAGTACACATGACAGACAGGTCAACACCAGAGGAGTACACATGACAGACAGGTCAACACCAGAGGAGTACACATGACAGACAGGTCAACACCAGAGGAGTACACATGACAGACAGGTCAACACCAGAGGAGTACACATGACAGACAGGTCAACACCAGAGGAGTACACATGACAGACAGGTCAACACCAGAGGAGTACACATGACAGACAGGTCAACACCAGAGGAGTACACATGACAGACAGGTCAACACCAGAGGAGTACACATGACAGACAGGTCAACACCAGAGGAGTACACATGACAGACAGGTCAACACCAGAGGAGTACACATGACAGACAGGTCAACACCAGAGGAGTAAGTCATGAAAGTTAAAAGGTGAAAATGTAAACAGTTAGTACAAACAAGAATGATCCAGCTGTTAACTTTTTTTCTTGGCTAAAATAGTTGTTGAAAGTAAGTCTTACCCTCAAGGTGGTACTGTCTAATGTGTTGTCCATAGCAGAACTCGTATGTCCACCAGTCTTTCGTCTGCAGTCATAAAGAATGACAACGTTTTAGTTCATATTACATTTCATATCCATGTTGAGTGGCCTTCCAATGCTAGATGAAATAGAATATGAGGCCTATAGACTGACTTATATGGAGAAGTTGCATTCTGTTCCCTTCCTCTTACAATCACATGATCATCAACCAGACATAAACTCTAATTCTAATATGCATCTAGAGTCTGTCCAACTCAAGGTCTGGTAGATTACAAGTCCAACCTTCAGGTGACCTCTTCATCCAAATACAGTAAAGTGAGGTAGCTTATTGTAGAGACACGCATGTCACAGTTTGGTTAGGGAATGCAAACTGACCAATCAGATAAGCACAATTGGGATTTAACTATCAATACAAGTTGAACAACTCATTGCAAAAGCATCCGCCTGGGCCAACATATGCTCTTTCATTTCCTTTAAAGCATCACTTTAATAATTATAACTGTCTGCAATGGTGTAAAGAGGCCTGAAAACAGTTTAGATGTTGATGCAATATGAAGCACTGCTGTCTCTACGCAGTGATGTAGTATTCCTCCCCTTAGTCTTCTGTGATTTGTGTCTGACCTTCACTAGGCAAGGGGCAGTGTGCATGGGCTTGAGCAGGTCTGGGATGCTTGGTCCGGTGTAGCCTTGGGAGTCAGGCTCAGAGGCTGGGTCCTGGTGAAACCTCACTGCCTGGGCTGGAAGGCGGCATTCATACATCTGCTTGTATTTGCTGGACACAAGCATGATTTCTTCTGTCTTAGCCTGCAGTGTGGGAAACATGACATTACGTTAGATAAAACAGACTGTACTACATCAGTTACTCTTGTATTCTCCTGTAACGTTACTTGGCAAATAGCAAGCTAGTTAGCTAATGTTAGGCTTCTTGTCTAGCTAGTTAACGATCTAACAGCTGTCAACTTGAAACTGCGTTCTCTTTTAAACAATAGGGCCAGTTAGTTACATATTAGCGGGTAGCTCAACAAGCTGTATAGGATAGAGCCCTGCACAGGCATGAAGTTTAAGCCCGAGTTCTACCCATGCCCATGAAGTTTAGGCCCTACCCAGGTCCGATTGCTTCTGCCAAATTTAAGACCCGGCCCTGCCAGAAATCAGAAATAACTTCCTCCATTAGTAAATCCATTAGCTGCTCCTCTTGGTCTGTCACTAGCTCCCTGCGCGCTGCTCGCTCTGCTCATAGTGGCTCTAAATCTGTGAGTAACCATAGCAACGGCTCTGCTTGGGCTGCTCTGCTCAATGAAGAGACATGAGAGAGCTGTTAGCTACTTTCCGTCATTCTAAACTCAAGGAACATTATTTTCTGTTAAATAATCTCTCCCGTGTTATATTTGACGAGGTTGAAGCACTTATGACACCATGTTATGATCTTAGTCAGATATGACTGTACTGCGCAGCAAAGCACAAGCAAATGGCTCAGCTTCAAAATGTTAGTTATCAATTTTGTGATACCTGAGCCCTGCCCGTCCCCTATTTCAGGGTTCATACACATTTTGACAGATGAAATTTCATGACTTGTGGTATCGACACTGGGAGGCTGCTCTCTGATCCCATGTACCATCTCCTGTCGTTGAGCAAGGCACTTAACCCCCACAAAGTAGAAAACCTGTGAGGCAACTGTATAAAACATGGTCAGCCCTCAGTCTGGAGAGCTACTGGGTGTGCAGACTTTTGATCAAGCCCTGCTCAAACACATCAGTCAGTTTATCAAGGTCTGGTTGAGCAGCTCATTTCTAAAATGTGTTTTGTTAGACGGGGACAGGAATAAAAGCCTGCACACCCAATTAGCTATCCTAGAGGATGGTTGACCACCCTTGATGTAAAACATTGAAACCAAATACATTTTATGCCTTTTTTAAATAATTCGCTCATTCAATATATTAAAGATCAAATGGCTATGGTAGGCTACAAATATTTTTATTCAGCTGAAGCAAGCCCACAAATGTTTTTCAGTCATATTTTTCTTTGCAGGCTGACTAGCATTTATTGAGTTACAATGTCCCACTCGTCTCGCACACATGCAAGTGATGCGTCTCGCACCTTTATTCCACACACAGAGACGGATACAAAGCTCTCCCTCGCCCTCCACAACTCTATCCTCCTGATTCCTGCTTACAAGCAAAAACTCAAACAGGAAGTACAAGTGATTTGCTCAGGGCCCCGTGTAGCTCAGTTGGTAGAGCATGGCGCTTGCAACGCCAGGTTTGTGGGTTCGATTCCCACGGGGGGCCTGTATAAAAATGTATGCACTCTAACTGTGAGTCGCTCTGGATAAGAGCGTCTGCTAAATGACTAAAATGTAAATGTAAAATGTGCTCAATATGGAAGTGGTCCATTGAAGCGGATGCTAAACTACAGGACTGTTTCGCTAGCACAGACTGGAATATGTTCCGGGACTCATCCGATGGCATTGAGGAATTTACCACACCAGTCACCGGCTTCATTAATAAGTGCATTAAGGAGATCGTCCCCACAGTGACCGTATGTACATATACCAACCAGAAGCCATGGATTACAGGCAACATCCACACTGAGATAAAGAGCTGCCACTTTCAAGGAGCAGGACACTAACCCGGACGCTACGGCCTCCGACAAACAGGCAAAGCGTCAATACAGGACTAAGATCGAATACTACTACACCGGCTCTGACGCTCGTCGGATGTGGCAGGGCTTGCCAACTATCACAGATTACAAAGCGAAACCCAGACACGAGCCTACCAGAGGAGCTAAATGCCTTCTATGCTTGCTTCGAGGCAAGCAACACTGAACCATGTGTGACATCACCAGCTATTCCGGACGACTATGTGATCACACTCTCCGGAGCCGATGTGAGTAAGACCTTTAAAAAGGTTAACATTCCCAAGGCCACAGGGCCAGACGGATTACTAGAGCATGCGCTGGCAAGTGTCTTCACTGACATTTTCAACCTCTCCCTGACCCAGTCTGTAATACCTACATGTTTCAAGCAGACCACCATAGTCCCTGTGCCTAAGAACGCCAAGGTAACCGGTCTAAATTAATATCGCCCCGTAGCACTCACATCTGTAGCCCTGAAAGGCTGGTCATGGCTAACATCAACACCATCATCCCAGACCCACTCCAATTCGCACACCGGCCCAAAAGATCCACAGATGACGCAATATCTTTTACACGCCACACTGCCCTTTCCCACTTAGACAAAAGGAACACCCTATGTGAGAATACTGTTCATTGACTACAGCTCACCGTTCAACACCATAGTGCCCTCCAAGCTCATCACTAAGCTAAGGACCCTAGGACTGAACACCTCCCTCTGCAGCTGGATCCTGGAGGTGGCCCCCAGGTGGTGAGGGTAAGCATCAACACATCTGCCAAACTGAACCTCAACACAGGGGCCCCTCAGGGGTGTGTGTTTAGTCCCCTCCTGTACTTCCTGTTCCCCCACGACTGCATGACTCCAACACCATCATTAAGTTTGCCAACGACACAACGGTGATAGGCCTGAACACCGACGATGATGAGACAGCCTATAGGAAGGAGGACAGATACCTGGCAGTGTGGTGCCAGGACAACTACCTCTCCCTCAACGTCAGCAAGACAAAGGAGCTGATCGTGGACTACTGGAAACGCGAGGGCAGAGCACGCCTTCATTCACATCGACAGGGCTGAAGTGGAGTGGGTAGAGCGCTTCAAGTTCCTCTGTGTCCACATCACTAATTTGCTGACCACCCTGCCTGTGTTTCACCCAAACTGCTCGCGTGCGTCAACAACCATCTGCATAGCCAGGCGCTAAACTAGAACCTGGTTCTATTTCTGACACACTACAAGTCCCACCTCTCCCATCTCCTCATTGGTTTTTAGGAGCATATACCCACGTGGGTGACAAAGCTGAACTGGGGTCCACACTCCAGTCCAGTTGGTGGTGGTGGTGGTAATGCACCTTAAAGTTGGTTTCCAACCACCATATAAAGTCCACAGAAGAAGAAGAGATTACTAGAAACTAATGAGGTTTCTCCTTTTATCTGTGGATTAATTGTCAGAGTAGAGAACAGAATGGGTCAAAATTCTACAAAGATCCAGGAAAAAAAGGACCTTGTGCATTTCAGGTAAAATAACAACCCAATGTTTATATCCCAAGACAAATTAGCTAGCAACAGCAAGCTATATGTCCATGAATGTTTCACGTGTTTCAACCTGTCCCTAAATTAACGTAATATAGTTAGTTCAGAGTTCATTTTGATATTTCAACCTGCATGTCCTGATCGCGTCTGGTGTGGCTGGACAAAATCAACATGCGCGTGCCCGGTATAGTCAGCATGTAAGGATCTATAATTGTCCAAACACACCAACAGTCGTGAAGAAGGCATGACAACGCCTCTTCCCCCTCAGGAGACTGAAAAGATTTGGCATAGGCTCTCAGATCCTCAAAAAGGTTCTACAGCTGCACCATTGAGAGCATCTTGACTGGTTGCATCACCACTTGCCTGGTATGGCAACTGCTTGGCATCCAACCGCAAGGCGTTACAAAGGGTAGTGCGTACGGCACAGTACATCACTGGGGCTGAGCTCCCTGCCATCCAGGACCTACAGTGAGGGAAAAAAGTATTTGATCCCCTGCTGATTTTGTACGTTTGCCCACTGACAAAGAAATGATCTGTCTATAATCTTAATGGTAGGTTTATTTGAACAGTGAGAGACAGAATAACAACAACAAAATCCAGAAAAACGCATGTCAAAAATGTTATAAATTGATTTGCATTTTAATGAGGGAAATAAGTATTTGACCCCCTCTCAATCAGAAAGATTTCTGACTCCCAGGTGTCTTTTATACAGGTAACGAGCTGAGATTAGGAGCACACTCTTAAAGGGAGTGCTCCTAATCTCAGTTTGTTACCTGTATAAAAGACACCTGTCCACAGAAGCAATCAATCAATCAGATTCCAAACTCTCCACCATGGCCAAGACCAAAGAGCTCTCCAAGGATGTCAAGGACAAGATTGTAGACCTACACAAGGCTGGAATGGGCTACAAGACCATCACCAAGCAGCTTGGTGAGAAGGTGACAACAGTTGGTGCGATTATTCGCAAATGGAAGAAACACAAAATAACTGTCAATCTACCTCGGCCATGCAAGATCTCACCTCGTGGAGTTGCAATGATCATGAGAACGGTGAGGAATCAGCCCAGAACTACACGGGAGGATTTTGTCAATGATCTCAAGGTAGCTGGGACCATAGTTACCAAGAAAACAATTGGTAACACACTACGCCGTGAAGGACTGAAATCCTGCTGCACCCGCAAGGTGAACATCTGAATGATTCAGAGGAGAACTGGGTGAAAGTGTTGTGGTCAGATGAGACCAAAATCGAGCTCTTTGGCATCAACTCAACTCGCCGTGTTTGGAGGAGGAGGAATGCTGCCTATGACCAAGAACACCATCCCCACCGTCAAACATGGAGGTGGAAACATTATGCTTTGGGGGTGTTTTTCTGCTAAGGGGACAGGACAACTTCACAGCATCAAAGGGACGATGGACGGCGCCATGTACCATCAAATTTTGGGTGAGAATCTCCTTCCCTCAGCCAGGGCATTGAAAATGGGTCATGGATGGGTATTCCAGCATGACAATGACCCAAAACACACGGCCAAGGCAACAAAGGCGTGGCTCAAGAAGAAGCACATTAAGGTCCTGGAGTGGCCTAGCCAGTCTCCAGACCTTAATCCCATAGAAAATCTGTGGAGGGAGTTGAAGGATCGAGTTGCCAAACGTCAGGCTTGAAACCTTAATGACTTGGAGAAGATCTGCAAAGAGGAGTGGGACAAAATCCCTCCTGAGATGTGTGCAAACCTGGTGGACAACTCAAGAAACGTCTGACCTCTGTGATTGCCAACAAGGGTTTTGCCACCAAGTACTAAGTCATGTTTTACAGAGGTGTCAAATACTTATTTCCCTCATTAAAATGCAAATAATTTAACATTTTTGACATGCGTTTTTCTTGATTTTTTTGTTGTTGTTATTCTGTCTCTCACTGTTCAAATAAACCTACCATTAAAATTATAGATTGATAATGTCTTTGTCAGTGGGAAAACGTACAAAATCAGCAGGGGATCAAATACTTTTTCCCCTCACTGTATAAACCAGGCGGTGTCAGAGGAAGGCCCTAAAAATGGTCAAAGGCTCAAGCCACCCAACGGAACGTTAACTAACATTGATGTTGACATGCGCGCTAGCTAGCACTACCACACATAAATAACAATGAGCTAGTTATATGGGTTAGTTAAACATTTGACTGTACAACAACACATTTTATAGATACAGTAGTGCATTATAATTTCATTATTAAATAGTCTGACTGGCTGTAGCATGTTAGCTAGCTAGCTACCACAATAGCCACCGGACTCCACTAGCAAGCTGTGCAGAACCGTTAACCATGCATGCTAGCTACCGTAAGCTAGCTGCTTAGCAAAACAAGTTATTTATTTCACGCCTCACCTGCCCCATAATGACAGGATCGGGAAGAATCTGGATCCCATATTTCATCTCGTTTAATTCCTCCAGATTCAAGAAAGCCGAGACGGATAGCAGATATGTCAAAAAGAAAACGTACAATTCCCTCAACCACCTAACCAATGAAGCAGCCATTACGGCAAACTACATCAAAGATAATATATAACTAACCCAAGACAGTTAATCTGTGTCGTTTACAGTGTGAATAAATGAAGCATAGTGGGAAAAAAGGTGGGCAAAGCCAAGCACGAGCTAGCGAGATTCTATTGGCGCGTTGTAGGTATATTTGCATATTTTTGTTAGGGAACGCCTCCTCTGTGAAGTGCGCGTTTGCACAAACTCAATTCCACTTGCACTCCTTCAAAACAACGCAATTTTTTAAAACTTTGGCAAAGCGTCAAGTCTATAAAATCGTAGTGCACTGTGTTCGTAACATATTCTAGTTTTGGGAACAGAACAATATATTGAGATCAGATGTTTCATCGATGAGAAAATTAGCTGAATGTCGGCCCAGTTTCACCCCTCTCCCACTACCCGCGACTGGACTTCCTCTCACTACCATATTTGGTGGTGAGAAAACGTTCTAAACGGATGCTTCAGCTTTATAGCCCCTGTGACGCGTCTGGGTTACCCATTCTGTCTGTGGCTACATCTGTCAGAGATCTTCTGTTGTTTATTTGGGTCGTCACTAGTTACCACAGCCGCAGTCATAAACCCCGCCTAAACCTAGGAACAAAAAGCTCATTTTAGTTTTCATACATTTTTACGATATAGCCACTTTGTGGATGTGTTATCTAATGGAAACCGTTTTTTGGTCCAAAGAAATGGAACGTCTGGATCCCATATTTCATCTCGTTTAATTCCTCCAGATTCAAGAAAGCCGAGACGGACATGTTGGATGTGGATTGGACAACATGGACATAAAATACCACTTAATAGGTTATTATACATGTCAATCAAAGCCATTACGTTGTCCTATTGGAACATTTAAAAAAAAAATCCAGAATCCCTCCTTTTGGACACAAACGTTTCCTCGATTGGTCTGAATTATAAAAGGCTGTATATGTAACAGTGTTACTTCCGTCCCTCTACTAGCCCCTACCTGGGCTCGAACCAGGGACCCTCTGCACACAATGACAACAGTCACCCTCGAAGCGCCGTTACCCGTCGCTCTACAAAATCCACAGCCCTTGCAGAGCAAGGGAAACAACTACTTCAAGGTCTTAGAGTAAGTGACGTCACCAATTGAAACGCTACTAGCGCTCACCGCTAACTAGCTAGCCATTTCACACTGGTTACACTCACCCCCCTTTTGACCTCCACCTTTTCCGCAGCAACCAGTGATCCGGGTCAGGGCACCAATGTAACAGTGTTGCTTCCGTCCCTCTACTTGCCCCTACCCTTCTCAAATCAAGCAGTAATCTGTGATGTTTGGTCATTTTGTGACCAAGGCAGCATGATGCGTCGTCCAGAAACATGAAACATCTCTTTTCCATAAAGTAAATGTTTTAATTTGTGAAACAATTTTCATTGAGAAGGCAGATAAAGCATTTTTATCAAAAGCAATTACTTTTGCATGAGAACACAGAATCCTACTAATTACTACACGTGCTTAATTACGTCACTTTTGTTTTGAGCCGACTTTGAATGGCGCACCTGGCTCACGCCCGGGAGGCTGCCCGGTTCCGAATCGAATGTAATCAAGTTTCAGCCGATGCAAATCACGCCTACACGGGCGCCCGGGTGCGATTAATCCAACCCCCTTATTGATTTGGTTTCAGATTCTACAGTCTAGGCTAGGTCACCACTAGTTACCACAGCCTACTCCACCAATTAGATGAGGGAGTGTGATGACGCGTCTATCCTTCCCGACCAATCAGATGAGGGAGTGTGATGACGCATATTCCGTTTCGTGGGAAACGCCTCATTTTCGAAATGGCATATCTGGAGTTCAAGTTTTAGGACCAAATAAGAGGTGGGGAGAGAGGTTGAGATGGCAGAAGCAGAAGTGTTGTTTATAGCTGAAAGCACGTCATAGTAACATAGTTAGTGAGAAAGATTAGTGGACAACAGTGAAGTCCAAGAATGGATTGTTGGAACACCTATTACGTTTACATTTTAGTCATTTAGCAGACGCTCTTATCCAGAGCGACTTACAGTTAGTGAGTGCATACATTTTCATACTGGCCCTCCGTGTGAAACGAACCCACAACCCTGGCGTTGCAAGCGCTATGCTCTACCAACTGAGCTACAGGGGACATTGTCTGTCTTTAAAAGACTATGAGTTTTACCTTCCTGTAAAAATACCCTGATTCAGGTCATTTGAGACCGATATGTTGGTGAATAAGATCCATTAAATTTTTTTTAGCTGCTCTACCACGCACCTGTCTGGTAAGGTTGAACGCCTTCTCTCCTACTCAGCCTCCTGAAAAAAGCTTCTCCCAACCAGGTATGACACCTACTCCCGTTGCCTGCTGCACTGCTGCACTGCTGCTTGGATCCCACCCGGCGATCTGTTCCCTGTCTGCCCTGCCCTGTCTCCCCCTGTCTGGTACAGGTACCCCCGCCACACTACCCCCTCTCTCCCAAGCTTTTGCTTGCCTCCAGCACACACGCACATATTTTTTACATTTACATTTTAGTCATTTAGCAGACGCTCTTATCCAGAGCGACTTACAGTTAGTGAATACATATTTTTTTATACTGGCCCCCCGTGGGAATCGAACCCACAACCCTGGCGTTGCAAACGCCATGCTCTATCAACTGAGCTACATCCCTGCCGGCCATTCCCTCCCCTACCCTGGACGACGCTGGGCCAATTGTGCGCCGCCAATGAGTCTCCCGGTCGCGGCTGGCTGCGACAGAGCCTGGATTCGAACCAGGATCTAGTGGCACAGTTAGCACTGCGATGCAGTGCCTTAGACCACTTAGACCATACACACACACCGCAGACTTTGGACTGATCTGAATTGTATGTAGGCTAATTAACTTGAAACTTATTATGTGAGCTTACTCAGAAACGCTTTAATTACCTAGTATAGGCCTACTATTAATTAATTTATTTTATCTCAGACTTTTATAGCCTACTGGACTCATAGAGAGCTACTCCCTCAAGTTATCTTGTTGGGGCGAGTGACTCTTTGAACTTACAATGGCTAACCCCAAGTCGTTTTATTATTTCTTGTGCTTTATTCTATTTGCCCTATGACTCCTGCGTGCTTTGTTGACTATGAACTTGCTCGTTTACCCGACCGTGGGGCAGACAATGTTTGTTCCCACACTTGCGACTCTGACTCTCTATTGGTTACACAGACTCTTGTCCTCCCATCCCATTCTAACCACCTCTCGCCGGCTTTGTATTTATGTTACCTGATGAAATTGCTGTACCATATGATCTTGTTACCATCTGATGCACATTCAAATGTCATAGAAAATCAACACTGCAGAGCTCTTCCTGTCCTCTGCCGTGCCCTGATTGTATTACTGCTGATAATATCTGGAAATGCACACGTACACCCTGGGCCGTCTACTGTTGCTAGCCCCAATTCTGACTTGTGCTCTGATTTCTGCTTCACTGTTTTCTGCTCTTGTAAAAGCCTGGGTTTTCTGCACATTAACACTAGAGGCTAATTACCTAAAATGTACCAATTGAAAGTGTGGGTTTCACAGCTCTAATCCAGATGTGTTGGTCATTACTGAGACGTGGTTAAGAAAGAGTGTTTTGAACACTGATGTTAACCTTTCTGGTTATAACCTTTTTCGACAAGACAGATCTTCCAAAGGTGGTGGAGTGGCAATCTTTACCAAGGAACACCTTCAGTGCTCTGTTGTCTCCATCAAGTCTGTCCCCAAACAATTTGATTTGCTGGTTTTAAGCATTACGCTTTCAAATAGCTCTTTATTGACTGCTGCAGGGTGTTATCGTCCACCATCAGCACCGGCCTGTACCCTATCTGCCCTAAGCTCTCTCCTGGCCCCTTACACTAAGTCTGAATTTGACCTGCTAGGTGACCTAAACTGGGACATGCTAAATCCACCTGACCAAGTCCTAAAACAATGGGACTCCCTAAATCTCTCTCAGATTATTACCAATCCCACAAGGTATGACTCCAAACACCCAGAAAAGGCTACTCTCCTTGATGTTATCCTCACAAATAATCCTGATAGGTATCAGTCTGGTGTTTTCTGTAATGACCTAAGTGATCAGTGTTTTACAGCCTGTGTTCGTAATGGCTGCTCAGTTAAATGACCTGTCCTGATTCGTCTTAGACGCTAGAGTTTATTTTTTGTGAAGAAGAAAGGCGGAGGTCTGCGCCCTTGCATTGATTAACGAGCACTGAACAAGGGGACAATACGTTATAGTTATCCTCTACCTCTCATTCCATCTGTGATCGAGTCAATGCATGGGGCGCACTTCTTCACAAAATCTCAGGAGTGCGTACAACCTGGTGCGTTTCCGTGAGGGGGACGAGTGGAAGACGGCATTCAGCACAACCACGGGGCACAACGAATACCTGGTGATGACTTACGGTTTGATGAATGCTCCATCCGTCTTCCAGTCCTTTGTGAACGAGGTGTCTCGGGACATGCTTGGTCGTGGTGTAGTGGTCTACATCGATGACATTCTGGTGTATTCTGCTACGCGTGCCGAGCATGTGTCCCTGGTTCGCAAGGTGCTGGCCCGACTGTTGGAACTGTGTTATGCCAAGGCAGAAAAGTGTCTGTTTTTCCAGCAGTCCGTCTCCTTCCTAGGATACCGCATTACCACCTCAGGTGTAAAGATGGAGGAAGATCGCATTTCAGCCGTGCGCAATTGGCCGACTCCAACCACGGTAAAGGAGGTGTAGCGCTTTATTGGCTTTGCCAACTACTATCGGAGGCTTATCCGGGGCTTTGGCAAGGTCACATCTTCCATCACATCTCTGTTGAAGGGTTAGCCGTCCCGGCTCCGCTGGTCTGCTGAGGCTGACAGGGCCTTTAGTAACCTGAGGGTTCTGTTCACCTCAGCCCGGTACTGGCCCATCCCGATCCAT